TTTGTTTGTGGGTAAAACAAAGACCATGCAGGTCAGGTAGTTAAAACGTTAGGCTACAAATAATTAATTGGTCATTAATTAATTATTCATAATCGAAAATTGAATCATGCCTTTAGAATTGAAAATGTAATCGAATCGAGGATTTGGAAGATCGTGACACCCTTAATGACAATCCAATAAAAAAAAAGATACACTGACCAAGGACACAGATTAGGGGTGTCAAAATTAGTTATTTTTTCAATACACCGTGAAGCAAATGTGGACAATTTGGTATCGGTTAATTGATAGATCATCACCAGTTATTGCGTACTGATGTCATTTATCTCATATGCGCTGTGTTTCAGTAGAAGACTATTCAAATGAGGCAAGGGTAAGTTATTGAAATGCTCCATTTACTTAAAAAGCAGACAACTGCACAATTCACTGCATGTGAGCTTGCTGGATAGTCTTTCACTGACACTAAAGTACAGCAGAACCAGTAGGCACTATTTCACTGCTAGAAATGTTTTCTCTCTCACTTTAGACCTCTGGACTCCTGGCCTGATTACAAGGTAATGTTTTCTCTCCTCTATCAACATTAAAGCAATACTTGTGGATCCAGCCAGGAGGTATTTATGCTCATGTTGTCTCCTGTGATTGTATTCGAGTTTTGTTTGAAACATTCAAAAAGAGCGTTTTCTAAATGTAAGAGTGGATTAATGGTATGAGTGAAATTGCATCGTACCAGTGTATACTGGGGAGATTAAATAATGAGGGAGAAGTACATAGACAAAGAAATAATCCCTGACGACATTTAAAGATAGGATGAATAAGTATGTATTGCAAAGATACCACAACCTTAATATGTTGTTTTTCTGTGACACGTGGCTGAATATAACATGTATTATATGTATGTGTAGTGTGTTCTTTTTTCTTGAACAAAAAAAAAGTTAAATTATTTTTAAAAATAGTGTTTTCTTTGAGCAGGTAATATTAAAGGTACAGTTTATATATCTGACTGCTTAAAGAACTGTATAAATAAAAAATAAAATTTTTAATTCAAGAATTCTTGTGTCCTGAAGAAAATAATATAATTGTGGATGGAAAGCAACATCAATGCACTGAGATATCAAACAGAACCGTATCGATGACCAGATAATCGTAACCGAACCATGAGACCTCTGTATGTTCACACCCCTAAAACAGATGTTTCATATATTCTATTTAGCAGATTTACAACCAGTAAAAATGCACTTTGTTTAAATCTTTTTAAAGAATAAAATTGTTGTCACCTCTCAAGTTGCAGATGTTCCTCAGTTCTCTCCTGTCTCACAGGATATGGTGGTCTCCGAAACGATTTGTTAGATTTTTGGCCACTGCATGAAGTAAATTAAACATGATTGTGATAAACATTAGATTCTGAATGTAAAATGTGTACAAAATAATAAACAAATAATGTTTATTTACATATTGTAAGTTGCTAGACATAAGAGATTTTGTTTACACAAAGATCAACAGTTTCATTTATTCATTCATCCATTCATTTTCTCTTTAACATAGTCCCCTTATTTAATAAGGCTCGCAACGGTGGAATGAACTGCCAACTTTTCCAGAATATGATGTACGCAGTGGATGCCCTTTAAGCCGCAACCAAGTAATGGGAAACACCCATACACACTAGCATTCAAAAACAAAGCCAATTTAGCTTATTCAATTCATGCTTCGTTATTTTTGAGAAAATAACCTTCAATGTAACTTACTCGTGTAAAAAATGCATTGTTAACGTTACACAACACAACAAGCGTCTTTCATTGTTTTGATGCTTGAAATTACTTTTTGTCCGTGTGTGTGCGTATCATACCCTCCTCCTCCGTGTTTTTGTCGTCTGCCCCCGGCTTTTTTTCCCCACGACGACATTTCACCTTTTCTAGAAAAATTTCAGTATATCGTTACAGAAAGCCACAGTAAACATAATAAACAAATACCGCGCGGCACAAGATGGCAGCGTTCTGTTTATCAAGCTAATTCTGCATTGGCTCAACCCTAATTTCTTAAAAAATGAACATATGCATATCTACAGTCAAAACAAAGTCCAATATAAAAAATATTTATCAAAACTATTGCTATTAAAACACAAATCTGAAGCGAATTTCGTCGTACCTTGGCAGAGATACGGCTGTAACGTACTCCTGTGGCTTTTGTTTATCGCGATAAATTGATTAATTCGCAGATGCGTTGTTTAATCTTCGATGTGATCAATACAAAGTGAGATTATTTTTAGACAAAATGTGTGAATAATAGTTGCTAATCCGTGCTACTCCTCAAGGATTCCGCCAATAGACCTGCTAACGCTTCATTCTAGATCCGACTTCCTTTCGTCGAGAAAGAGTATTTGAGTCGCCGCCTGTCGGCCTGGCAGACCAACGACCACCACGCAGTACACAAAATGTACGTGAGGCTCAAAAATTCATAATAAAATATTAATTGCTAAAATACTTTTCATTCATTAATTTCCCTTTGGCTTAGTCCCTTTATTCATCAGGGGTCGCCACAGCGGAATGAACCGCCAACTTATCTAGCATATGTGTTACACAGCATATGCCCTTCCAAACAATATCCAGCTGCAACCCAGTTACTGAGCATACTTTCTCACTTTTATGACCTAGATGTACTCTTTAGTTTTGCTATCTTAAGCAAGAATAAAATATTTACATTTATTTACACTGTTTACTACATTTTACATTCATAAACTTACTAATATTAAGCCTAATTGTATGGTTTTGCTGAGATGTGCTTAAAATTACTAGAATCAGAGACGCTTTAAATAAAATATCCCTAAGTTCTTAAAAATTTTGTGAACATTATAATGTATTTAATTGCTATACATCAGGGGTTCCCAAACTCAGTGCTGGAGAGCCGTTGTCCTGCAGATTTTAGCTCTAACTTGCCTGAACACACATGCTTCATACAACACTCATAGTTCTAGAAAGCCTAGTAAGAGCTTGATTAGATAGCCCAGGGGTGTCTGATTGGGGTTAGAACTAAACTTTGCAGGACACGACCCTCCCGTTCTGGACTGAGTTTGTGCTCTCCTGCTATTCATGGATGTTTTACATTTGTGTTTTTTATTCTTACGCTTACTGTGAATTCTACAAACCACAGTCTCATGACTTTGTTGTCTTTATGGTTACACTTTATATAAGATTTATGGTCCATTAGTTCATGTTACTAGATGTATTTACAAACATGAACAAACAATTAGTAATACATTTATTATGGCATTAATTCATCTTTGTTGACTTTAGTTAATGTTATTAAAAGTAAATAACATTAGTTTATTGATAGTTCATGTTAACTCACAGTGCATTGTCTGTTGTTAAGCACAACTTTGGATTTAAATAATACAGTAAATGATGAAATATGACTGATTAAAGCGTTACAAGATTATTATACTTAGCTAATGTTAGTAAATGCTTTAATTAACATAAAAAAATGGCCCGTTATTCTAAAATGTTACCGCATTTTTTATTAGGATGTGCTGTATTTCATTTTAAGTTTGTAAATATGTTTTATTATAATAATTTGAAATCCATAGGCTACAAAATTTCCTTCAGCTTAGTCCCTTTATTCATCAGGGGTTACCACAGCGGAATAAACCGCCAACTTATCCAGCATATGTTTTATACATGCCCTTCCAACTGCAACCCAGCATTGGGAAATGCCCATACACACTCATGCACTACGTTCAATTTAGCTTATTCAATTCACTTACAGCACAAGTCTGGAGCACCCGGAGGAAACCCAAGTAAACATGGAGAGAACATGCAAACTCCACACAAATGCCAACTCACCCAGCCGGGGCTGAAACCAGGAACCTTCTTGCCGTGAGGCAATCACGCTACCCACTGCGCCACCATATCTCCCCTTTAGTTAATGTTATTAAAGTTAAATAATATCCGTTTATTGTCAGTTCATGTTACCTCACAGTGCATTGCTGAAATGTGATTATGTCTTTACAAGATTATTCGCTATAATGTCAGTAAATGCTTTAACTAACGTTAACTATTGAACAACTATTCTAAAGTGTTACCGCCTTTATTTATTAAGACGTGCTGTATTTCATTTTTAAATTTGTAAACATATACCAATTTAAAGTCCATAGGTTACAAAATATAATTTCTAATTGGTAATACTGTTAAGTTTAAATTAATTACTATAATTTTCAAAAACTTGTTTATTTACATTTGGGAGATTGTGATTAAGTGAAGTTTTGCAAACTGATACTGCGGACACATTCAAGTCTGAGCGTGCAAAATTCTGTAGTACAGTGCTGCGAAAAGGGGCGAGATTAAACAAGATTGGACATTAAAAAAATGAGCGATTGCTCCATATTTTAAATTTCTGACCAGAGAGGTCATGTTTTGATCCTCGAATGGTCTGACGCATCCAATGACGCAATTTCGCAGGTCAGAGTTCACCAAGCTTGTACTTTGCAACGCAGCGAACTGCGAAACTTGTCGCATGAGCTTGCGTTACTGGTCTCTCCTGGGACAGCATGCCAAACCTGCTATTATTATCAAGCAATATCTTAGAGTGAGGGCAGAACGATGGCACAGTGGGTAGCGATCCTGTCTCACAGCAAGAAGACGCTGGTTCGAGCCTCAGCTGGGTCAGTTGGCATTTCTGTGAGGATTTTGTACGTTTTCCCCATGTTCATGTGGGTTTCTTCCGGGTATCCAGTTTCAACCACAAGTCCAAAGACATGTGTTATAGGTGACTTGAGTAAGCTAATTGTCCACACTGTACGTGTGTGAATGGAAGTGTATGGGTGTTTCCCAATGATGGGTTGCAGCTGGAAAAGCATCCGCTGCGTTCATTCCACTGTGGTGAACCCAGATTACTTAAAGGGACTAAGCCGAAAATTAAATGAATGAATGTATCTTAGAGTGAACTCTTGAAATAGTATTCTGGAATTCACACATATTACTGTTGAAAAAGAGTAATTCACTAAGATAACAACATGTACAATAAGCAACACATAAACAGACATTTATTACAAACAACACAAATCAGAAAATGAAAGATTCTTAATTCAATCACACTCTCTTATCTTTGGGAGCGCTGGAGATTTCAGTCTTGTAACTGCTTTAGAAAGTTCACATTAAGCATCAGCAGCATAAGGACACTGATATGTGCATTAACCATTGCGGAAATCTTCTGAAATTTCCTCTCATTAAAAATCGCCTTTCGAGACTGATGGAATCAATATTCACTCATTAATACTCAATCTAAACGTTCCAATTTGGCTTAATTTATTTCTAAATTAACTTTGCATCATATGTCAATATAAAATACTATTTTAAAAAAAGAAATCACTGTGTCTTGACTCACCAAGACATTCCGCATCCATATTGAGAATGTGGGGCAATCAACCCAGAACAGATTCAAGTACAATCAAGTCTGAGAGAGCAAAAAATAATGGGTTTTCTGAGGCAGGCATGAGGAAACAAAGTGGTTAAGACACTGTTGCTGTTTCCTGTTGAGATTTAAAAAAAAGAGAGAGAGAGAGAGGTCACATATATATGTATATATATATTAAACACATCTGAACAGAGACGCACAGTAGTAGACCCTGACCAGAGCTTGAGAGGGAAGAGACTCAAAGACAGAACAGCATGTAATGGATGCATTTGTTCCATATTTAAGCTGTTCCTGGAAATGCAGATTTAAATTCTCAGCAGCCTTTAAACTTTCCAGCTTCTGAATAGCCCTCTATTGATAGGGGCCTTCTTGGAGTGCAATAGTAGTTTTCTCTACCAGTCAATATTATTCTCTCTTCTTCCCTCCAGTTTAAAGGAGGATCTACTCCATCCGTCAAAGGCCAGCGCTGTTGCGTCCAATCCTGAGACAGCATCTTGGTTTCGATTGGTCAGGTCGATCTTTCGGACTGAAGGGACTGGACAGGATGGAAGCTTGATGGGGAAAGTCCACATTTAGGGTTGATGGGCTGATGTCAGGACACGTGGGAAATGAGTCTGACTCGTGTCTTGATGTCTTGACGACACAGTGGGCATGTTTCCAGCTGTAAGGCACACTCCATACAAATCCCACTGAAGACGTGACACAAGAAAACAGATAAATCACAAAGAACTAATACAGTAAATAAATCAACACATTATACACACAGATTGGTGATATCAAATTCCAAAAATTCCCAGAATCGATCATCATTTAATTTAAAGATTAATTCATTTTTTTAAAGTCTGGGTGAACCAGACATTGCGGAGACTTTCATTTCAGTATGTTGATGTACTTCCAACTGAAATAGATTATTGAGTAGGGGGGAGCTTCTTTTTGTGCATCATTTCTTTGTAGCAAACTAAAACTGAACAAGATGTCCTCGCTGCAGTCTGCAGCATATTGATGTACTGGACCAGGTCTAATTCTAACACAAACACTGCTGTTATTTCAACGGAAATCTCACCCCTCAGCTTTCATTTGGCTGGAAAATGAAAAAGATTGACATAGCACATTTTTTAACTCTAGGTGCACATCAGCAAACACGCAAGGTACGGTACGGCGAGGCGGTTAAAATGGACATCGTAACGCCCACTAATGTAACATCCATGCTACTGCGACGGTTGGGTTTAGGGTTAGGAAAGATGTAGACATTAAGGTTACACTTTATTTTGATGGTTCGATTGAGTATTAGTGGACTGCCTGCTTAATATCTGCTGATGCTGCTTCTTCAACAGACATTTAACTGATATGAGAAACTTTGCAAGTAAATGTCAACTTACACTAAGCCCAACCCCAACCTAACAGTCTACTCATAATCTAATGAGAATTAATTGGTATGTAGATGGAATTCAACCTAAATTTGACATACAAACCATCAAAATAAAGTATGACCGACATTATTTAACACACAATTTAATGTGTTACTTAATAATTAATACAAATAATTAGTGTTTCTACCTAAATCCGCTGGCCCTCGTCCACTATGTATTGGACCTGGTCCAGTATGTCATCAAACTGCAGGCTACAGCAAGGACTGTCTCAAACTGAACCAAAAACACTAGCTATGTTTCCACCCAAAGATGCAAATTAAATTTATGAGCAAAACTGGTATATCACATACAAGATATGCAAATAAAGCAGCGTTTCAATCCAAGCAGTAGTAAAGAAAAAAACGTCACTCCCTAATTAACTGGCGCCAAATATCGACAGTAAAAACTGAATTTGCTGTAATAGGAGAAGCTGTGTGAATCTTTTTTTCATTTACTAAATGACTTGCGCCTCAGAAGACAGTATGCTGATGTGGAATAAATGATTGGTGGCATTTGAAGGCGTAAAACGCAGAGCACAGACGCTCTTGGGAGTTCTGAAGGTAATTAATAGTATAATAACACAAATACTGGAATGATTAAGTAATTTTAGAATGACCAAAACATTTAAGATGTTTTAAGATGATGTGCTCAGCCTGCTGGTTTATTCATTCAAGACATATTCACACACATTATCATCACATGATCTCTAACAAAATCCTATGACTTTTATAACGCACATACTGGAAATTGTTTGGGAAAAGTGTTTCATAGTAGTTTTTATGCTCATCTTTTATTATCGTATAAAAAGTTTATCGTGCTCAGTTATGTGCATACTTTTTTTAATGTGCATTTTCAAAATTGATGCGCATCTTGGCGTTCGCATAAACCATTTTTTAATGCGCATATCCAAAATGCACAATAAAAATAGGAGGATGGAAACGTAGCTATTGTCATTCCGTATCAGATCAGGGTGAACATTTACTATGGGCAGTATGTCGCATTGCTATTAGTGTCAGCAGCACAACATGCAAAAATTGTATTGCCAGTAGTAAACGCCCATTCTGATCTGAAATGGCAGACATAGACACGCAATGTTGTTTTTACAGGTTTTTTGGTGCACCATCTTGTTCTTGGAGATTCGTATGATTGCAGTTAAACCACTGAAGCCACATTAATTTTTTTTCACAATGTTTTTAGCTCCTTTTCTGGAATTTGGACATCTTGAGACCATTACTGTCTATAGAGGATAAGGGAGCTCTTAGATTTCATGTAAAATATCTTGATTTGTGTTCCAAAAATGATCAAAGGTCTTACGGGATTAGAATGACATAAGGGCGAGTAGTTAATTAACAGAATTGTAGTTTTTGGGTGAACTAATCATTCAACGCAAGAAAAAGTAAGATACAGTTTAAGTCAGAATTATTAGCCCCCATTTATTTTTTCCCCAATTTCTGTTTAACAGATTTTTTTCAACACATTTCTAACATAATAGTTTCAAAAACTTATTTCTAATAACGGATTTATTTTATATTTGCCATGATGATAGTAAATACTATTTGACTAGATATTTTTCAAGACACTTCTATACAGCTTAAAGTGACATTTAAAGGCTTAACTCGGACAATTAAGTTAACTAGGCTGGATAGGGTAATTAGGCAAGTTAGACACAATCCCAATTCTATTTTTTGTACCCTTACCCCTTCCTCTTGGCCCTTAAGAACAGAGTGTGAAAGGGAAGGGCTTCAAAATTTACCCCTGAGAATTGGGACAGCACTACAGCACCTGCACACATCATCATATGTCAACGCAATCTCATGCTTCATATGAGATCAGATGACCGCGACTGCTGTAGTTATTCCAATTGTGTTATTTTTTGGTATTTATCTTCAGGAAATCACTGAAGGCATATATATAATGTTATCATAACGATCTAGCGTGGCAATAAGATTGTAACTGTACTGTGCATTTACACAGTGGCCATATTCATCCATGTAAACACACCAAAAACAACATCAACATTATAGCAGACACTGTAAAAAGCTCATTCCCAGCCACAAGACTTTTCTGACAGGGTTTTCGAGTAACATCGAGTGCCAGAATGTTGTGGGACTGCTATACAGGAGTTACGATTATGTATAATAGATCATGAAATTAAGCGGTTTTTATTTTAGCGTTGTTTTTTTAAAGCATGACAGTAAAACACGATTGTGGTTATGAATGTATTAAAACATATGCTTGTTTGTTGTAAAATTTATAATAATGACAAAAAAATTTATTTGTGGATCTTCTTACTTCTGGGTGCAACTATCCTGCCGTTCTGGCTGGTGTATTCCAGGAAATTTTCTTACCCCTTTGTTTCGAGCATGGTCCTGAAAAATCTTCATTCGAAGGGCCATCTACCCCTTCCCCTTTACCCTATGCCTTCAAGCTAAAGATAATTGGGACACCTCTACCCCTTTAAGGTAATGCGCAAAATGAGGGGTAGGGGTGAGGGGAAGGGCTAAGGGGTAGAGAATTGGGATTGGGCCTATAACGATGGTTTGTTCTGTAGACAATCAAAAAATATATAGCTTAAATAATTTTTATTAAATAATTTTATAGCTTAAATAAATAATTTTGACCTTAAAATTATTTAAAATACATATATATTTTAGATATTTGTTTTATTTCGGCTAGATTAAAAATATATTTGAATAAAAATAAGACTTTCTCCAGAAGAAAAAATATTATCAGACATACTGTGAAAATGTTCTTGCTGTTAAACATAATTTGGGAAATATTTTTAAAAAAAAAATAAAAGAGTAAAAGTGGGGCTAATTATTCAGACTTCAACTGTACAAGAAACTGAAACTGTAACTTAGAAACTGTACTTAGAAAGCTTTGCATTTAGGAGAACTATATCTTTGAGGTCGATCCCACCAAATGCACCTTTTCATTCAGAGAACGAGAGGCGCACCACACTGCCTTTTTTGTTGACAAGATAAAAAGAAGTACAGTATGCTTTTGTTGCAAGGCAACGACTTAATCAGCAGCAAATTGTGCGCGAGCGTTGCTGCTGATATTGTTAAAAAAAAAAGAAATATTTAATCATATTTTGACATTCATAATTTGCGAAGTCATACAGCTCCAGATAACTTGAAATAGTGACCACAAGTGTCTCCTCCATCTTTAAAAGTCTATGTAGTCGTCTTGACAACACAAACACTGCTGTTACCTCAATGGCAAGCTCACCTCTGCTTTCATTTGATAAGAATGAAAAAGATTGACTGACAATGCCTGTTTTTTTTCCACTAAGTGTTGACTTTTTCAACTCTAGGCACACATCGCACAACCGCAATAATGTGTGGTGCAGCAGCAGTTTAACAGGAAGAGAAGTGTTCTCGCTTATTACAGTGGAGATTGCTTAAGTTATATTGTTTTGAGTTATTATTAGTTGGTTGGGATGCAGTGACTTGCAGTTGAATATTTTGCAGAACAGATTCACAACTTTTGATGCTCATAAATGATCATAACCGTCATCATGCTGCATGTATTAGGAGGTTTGCTGAAGGCGGCAGTTGCGACTTTAATAAACTACAACAGTTTGCGTTCATTGAAAAAAGTAAGAATGATTAATAAATCCATATCAAACAGTCCTTTAAAAGTGAGGCTGTGTTTTCAGTTTCAGGCTTAGGTGTGCTTTGCACTCACACTACAAGCGTACCACGACAAAGCCCAACCAAAACGCACTGACACACATCTTCCAACCGGGCCAGGGACGGCCAACTGAACCTCGCCCTCAAACTTGTCAAACAAACCAGGAAACACGCATTGACACAGTTCAAATGGCATAGTGTGAGTGCACCCTAAAATTCTTAACAGGCTTAATGCAGGGATATGGGTTACAAAAGGCTGAATGTGTTCCAAATGTCCCAATTCCCCAAACAACAGTTGTTCTTTTCTACTCCACCTCAACCAAGCCCCTGTCCCCATAAAGCCAGTTGTGTAAACACTGATTCTATAAGCTGATCTTTGTACCTGTGCGAACAGGGTCTCAGTTCAGTGTCCGCCATCTGGTCGCAGCAGAGGGTGCAGCAGTTATCTCTGATGCTAACCTGCTTGAGCAATGCTAGGCGTCTGTGTCTGAAATAAAACAAAGGAAGAGCAATTTCAGATACTCACTGCATGAGTCACCTACTTTAGATAATAACCAGTGCATCATTCACATCTATAACGGCCATTGATACTTCACCCTTTGTACAGCAATCTAATAAATGGTGCAAACCTGGGCAGAATGATTTTCTCGTCTGATGCGAGCGAGGCAAACTCATTAAAGGTGTTGAATTTGATGGAGGGGGGATGGCGGAAGGGTTTGGCTCCGAAGTTGAACTCACACTGTTGATAGGACATAAAACTGGCTGCAGCAAAGAAGCCAGACCTGAAACAAAGAAAGCCAAGTGTTCAAAAAGTTCCATCATGCTCGTTTTAAGGTTAAGGAAGTGATCTTCGCTTACGTGGCAGAGAAGAACACCTGCTTCTCAGGAGGCAGCTGGTGTCCGTTAAGGTAGAAAATCATCTGCTTCTTACTGAGGTCCAGCAGGAAGCCTATGGCATCACCTAGAAAGACCAGAGAACACTGATCACACAACGTTGTAATAACAAAATGATGATATGGAATAAATGTAGGCAATTGTAAATAGGTAATCATCACATGCAGATGTTGGGAGCTGAACAGGATGCTCTACAAACCTTCTTTCCAGCAGGGGTGGGAGTGAGGTTTACTGCGAGCGTTGTACCAGATCAGCTGCCTGCAGCCGTCATACGCACACGAGTACTCATCATCTCCAATCCCATAACCCTCCTGTATAAACACAGAGATGTGTTTTCTTACTACAGAACAATTATTTCATTTTTAGAATACATAAGTGTATATAACAGGAAACTGGTCATTTAAAATAAGCTGAAACACCCAGACAATTTTAGTTTGTTATTAGTTATGATTCAAATTATTACAACCCAACGTATCTTTATAAAATGCAAGCATGGCAAGTTTAAATTTATTTGGTAAGTTAAAGTTTATAAATTTACTATATATACTAAAGTGGCATTTGTTAAACCAGTAATAGTCAAGTAATAATACACTACCTGACAAAAGTCTTTAGTCTATCCAAGTTTTAGGAACAACAAATAATGACTTGACTTCTAGTTGATCATTTGGTATCAGAAGTGGCCTATATAAAAGGAAAAGGCCTCTAGATTACACTTTTTTTTTTACCAAAATAAAATTTGATCATGCCTTGATTTTTTTTATTATTAAATTAGGACAGTAAGGTCTGACTTTGCTTAGACAAAAGTCTTGTCACTTAACAGAAATAATGTACAGTATAGAAAATAAAGTCATGGTGCAGTGGAAAAAGCATTATTATTGTGTATGACTCCCATGAGCTTGGACGACTGCACTCATACATCTCTACAATGACTCAAATAACTCATTAATAATGTCATCTGTAATGGCATAGAAAGCATGCTTGCAGGACTCCCAGAGATCATCAACAT